AATAGTATTAATAGTAATAGTAATAATAGCAAGGGAAGTAGCGTTTTAAACTTTAATAAAAAAAAACGAGGTAATAAATATATATATATATATATAGTGGTTTTTTTTTTAGCTTTATAAGCATAAAAAATCGACCTTAACGGGATTACGCTTTTAAAAGAAATTATATAATACAGTATACTTTTTAACTATATAATATACGTAATATACCCTAAGTACGCGCTTAACGTAATATAATAATTCTAATATAAAAACTATTATATAATTTAGGATAAGTAAGCTACTCTCTTTAATAATAGCGCTAATTAAAAAAGTTAATAATAAAAGTCGGCCATAATAATTAGCCGTAATAGTTAATTATAATAGTTAAAGGCGGCCCTTAACTATAGAGGTTCTAAATTTTAATAGTAATATAAAAGTATTTAAAAAAAGGGCTAAATAGGCTAATATTTATTACTTTTTAGAGCTCGTAAAGATTCTTTTTATCCTTATTACTTCTAATATTACTCAAAACTACTCTCTATTTAAACTAAATAAATTTATTAAATAAATTTACTAAATAAACTTATTAATATATAAACTATTACCTAGATAGTTAGTTAAATAACTAGTTAAGAAGTTAGCTAGTTAAAATACTACCTTAATAAGAACCTACTCTCTTAGTATATAATTAGTAATTAGTAAGCAAAAGATACTAATTAATAAGTTTACCCCTCTTAAGCTAAGTACCCTTAGCTAGCTTAACGCTATAGTTATTATAGCTAATATAAGTATACTTAAGAAGTAATAAAATACTTTTTAATAATATAAAATCTAGCTAAGTAATAATACAAATATTATAAATAGCCGGGCTAATATAAATATTAAAATTTAATATATTAACGCTAATTTAGAAATTATACTTTATAAAGCTAGAAATCCCTTTAATATAAGCTATATTATAAATATAAGGGAATATATAAGGGGTTTTTTAATTTTTAATAAAAAGGAGTATATAATATAAGATCTAGCTACTTATACGGGCTAGTACTAAGAGGTTTTATATATATTAAAATAAGTATAGCTTACTCTCTAAATAACTAGATACAAGGGAAGGTCGGGAGCTATTAATAAAAAGAAGATAATAGTTAAGTTAGTTAATTATTATTTTAATTAGTAATTAGGTATAAAGCGTAATATACCCAGTTTTCCCTAATACGTAATACACGGTACGGCCCCGGCGGATTACTCTATCAGGGGGATCTTAAGTTATTATAATAATAACTATTATTATTTTATTAATACGCTTTATAATACGTTATTAATATAAGCAAGAGGATCCCTTTAGGGTCTAGCCCGCCTTATTAAGGGCCATCTTCGCCTTTATAAATAAGCTAGTCTATTAAAATTAATATTAAGTTTTTATTACGTATTTTAATAAGACTTTATAACTAATTATAACCGGCTATAGCTATTACTAACTATTAATACTAATTAAACTTAAAATATAAATAACCCCGCTACTATAGTATATTAATTACCTTCTTAAAATCTAAATACTACCCCTTATTTTCTTTTTTTCTTTTATTTAATAATAAGAATGAATATACTAATATTATAAATTAATATATTAATATCGTTCTTATACTAACGTTACTATTCTACTTTTTAATGAGTTTAAAAAAATAATACCTTTTTATAAAAGTAGTAGGGGTAATTATAATAATATAGCTATTCTTATTATCCTTTTTAACTTAAGCTTTAGTATACGATTTTAAAAAATAAGAATATTATTATAACCTACGTACTTATTTAGAATTATTATATTATTTATTGAAAATTTATAAATCTTAAAGAAGCTAGTAATTTAAGTTTTTATAAATCTTAAATCGTTAATAATCCGTGGTTATGAACTGTATGAAAGGGAAAGTTAAAAAGGTAGAAAATCTAAAAAAAAAATAGTCTATTGAGATAGTAGGAGGATTTATTGATACTGTGTATTAATACTGTGTAAACGACATCGAGAACCGCCCGAGTAGCTAGTAAAGGTAGAATATTAAAATAAATAAATCTTAAATAAGTAAGGCTTTTTTTTTACTATATATTTAAAATAAATAAAGAGTAAGTTATAGTAATGTCTACTTAATTACCTCTTTTAATATAGTTATAATAATTTATTATCATTATAAACTACTTTTTATTAGGTCTATTTTTTTTAAAATACTTAGCTATATTAGCTATTTATTTATATAATTCCCTATTATCCTCTCTTTATTAAGAGAACTAAACTAGCTCCTTATTTATTACTAAAATAAGCTTAATATTTAGTTTTAACTTAGCTAATTTATCTTTTTTATAAGCTTAGTTAGTATTAATTTATTTTTATTTTCAAAATAGGCAGCCTTATTTTTTATTATTAGCGCCTTAGTTATTATAAATGATATAAGCTCAATTAGCTAACTAGCTTTTTTTAAATAAGGCTAGTTATAATAAAATAGGCTATATTATATAGTGGTTTTTTTCCGGCTTTATAGGTATAAAAGATCGACCTTAACGGGATTACGCTTTTAAGGGAAATCATACGATATAGTATACTTTTTAACTATATAATACGCGCAATGTATCCTAAGTACGCGCTTAACATAGGCTATATTATATTTTTTAACTTATTATAAAAAGATATAATAGTCTTAGGGTTAAAGATTTAATAATATTTATTTTAATATTCTGCCTTTACTAGCTACTCGGGCGGTTCTTAAAATTAATTATATAATATTAATATACGGTATAAGTAAATACTTATATTATTTTAATAAACTGTTTTTTTTTAAATTACTTTCTTCCTTTTTATCTTTCCTTTTTATAAAGTTTATAACTACGGATTATTAATAATAATATTAAGCACCCGACGCTATTACTTTATAAGCCTACGTACTTAGCTAAGTTAGCTACCTTTTTAAGTATAGTAGTTTATAACGGTAGTATTAGAGATACCCTCGTTACTATTATTAAATAATATCGACCTTATAATATTTATTATACTTTTAACTTTAACTCGTATATATATATATATATATATTCGTTACTTTTAAATATATATATGTATAAGTAAAGTTAAAAGTACTAGGGTAGATATCGTAAGGTCAGTATTATTTAATAACGGTAACGAGAGTACCTCTAATACTATTATTATAAGCTACTATACTTAGAAGGGTAGCTAACTTAGCTAAGTACGTAATAAGCTTATAAAGTAGTAGCGCTTATTATTGCCGTTAATAATCTATAGTTATAAACTTTATAAAAGGGAAAGTTAAAAAAGTAAAAAAGTTTAAAAAAAATAGTCTAACGAAATAGTGGGAGTATTTATTAATATTATATATTAATACTATATAAATAATATCGAGCCCCCCGATAGAGCAATTTACTAGGGCCGTACTATATATTACGTATTAAGGAAAACTATATATATTGCGCTCTATACTTAACTATTAATTTAAATAGCTCCCGACCTTTTGCTACGTAAAGTTCTCTAAGTTCTAGCCGTCTAGAGGGCGAGCTATACCTACTCTAATATATATAAGACCTCTTAATACTAGCCTATATAAGTAGCTAGATCCTATATAATAGTTTTTTTCCGGCTTTATAAGTATAAAAAATCGACCTTAACGGGATCACGCTTTTAAAAAACACTACACAATATAATACACTTTTTAACTATATAAAATATATAATTAACCCTAAGTACGCGCTTAATATAATATAGTAATTTTAATATAAAAACTATTATATAATTTTAAATAAATAAGCTACCCTACTACTTACTAATAATAAGCTAAGTAATATACTTACGTAATAGCGCTAATAAAAAAGGTTAATAATAAAAGTTAGTTATAAAGGTTCTAAACTTTATGAATAATATAGAGGTTGTTAAAGAAAAGGCTAAAAGGGCTAATATTTAGCTATTTATACTAGAGCTTATAAAAATTCTTTTTATCCTTATTACTTTTAATATTACCTAAAGCTCTATTTAAACTAAATAAATTTACTAAATAAACTTATTAAACGAACTTATTAATATATAAACTACTACTTAGATAACTAATTAAATAACTAGTTAAGAGATTAGTTAGTTAGAATACTACCTCGTTAAGAACCTACTTTTTTAATATATAGTTAGTAACTAGCGGGCTAAGACCATTTAAAAATACCCCTTAATAGGTCCCCCCCTCTAGAGCTTAATAAATTCTTAGGCCCCCTCAACGCCCTAGCTATTATAACTAATATAAACGTATTTAAAAAGTAGTATAGTACTTTTTAATAATATAAAATACGGCTAAATAATAATATTTATTTATATTTTCTACCTTTATTAACTACTTAAGTAGTTCTTAATATCGATTATATACTATTAATATATAGTATTAATAAATACTCTTACTATTTTAATAGACTATTTGTTTTAGATTTTTTTTTTAACTTTCTTTTTTATAAGTTTATAACTACGGATTATTAACGGCGATATTAAGTACCCGACGCTACTACCCTATAAGCCCGCGTACCTAGCTAAGTTAGCTACCCTTCTAAGTATAGTAGCTTATAATAGTAGTATTAAAGATACCCTCATTACCGTCGTTAAATAATATTAACTTTACGATATTTACCTAATACTTTTAACTTTAACTCGTATATATATATATATTTATTACCTCGTTTCTTTTATTAAAATTAAAAATACTTCCCTCGCTATTTAGTATTATTATATTATTACTATTACTATTGATATTTAACTATTTATTTTAAGTATACTTTATTAAAATATTAAGATATTAATAGCCTGTCGACTCTTAGGGCTTTATTAATAGCTAGAAGTTCGATTTTATAAATATTATACTAAACGACCCCGAGCTATAAAAAGACCGCCTTAATAAATATTATATTTATATAATGGTTTTTTTTTCCGGCTTTATAAGTATAAAAGATCGACCTTAATAAGATTACGCTTTTAAAGGAAATTATATAATATAGTATTTATTTATTTTTGTATTCTACCTTTACTAGCTGCTCAGGCGGTTCTCGATATAGGTTACACAGTATTAACACACAGTATTAGTGGATACTCCCACTATCTCGATAGACTATTTTTTTTTTAGATTTTCTACCTTTTTAACTTTCCCTCCTGCACAGTTCACAACCACGGATTATTAACGGCGATATATAATATAGTATATAGTGGTTTTTTTTTCTAACTTTATAAGCGTAAAAGATCGACCTTAACGGGATTACGTTTTTAAAAAAAATTATATGATACGATATATTTTTTAATTATATAATACGCACAATATACCCTAAGTACGTACTTAACGTAATATAATAATTTTAATATAGAAATTACTATATAATTTAGGATAAGTAAGCTACTTTTTTTAATAATAGCGCTAATTAAAAAAAGTTAATAATAAAAGTTAGTTATAATAATTAGTTATAATAATCGGCCATAATAATTAGAGGCGGCCCTTAACTATAAAGGTTCTAAACTTTAATAATAACGTAGAGGTTTTTAAAAAAAGGGCTAAATAAGCTAATATTTACTACTCTTTAGAGCTTATAAAAATTCTTTTTATCCTCATCGCTTCTAATATTGCCCAAAGCTCTATTTAAACTAAATAAATCTACTAAATAAATTTACTAAATAAACCTATTAATATATAAACCACTACTCTACTAAAAATACTTATTAATAAGTCTGCCCCTCTCGGGCTAGGCGCCCTCTTTAGCTAGTTCGATACTATAGCTATTATAATTAATATAAGTATACCTAAGGATTAGTAAAATACCTTTTAATAATATAAAATTTAGCTAGGTAATAATACGAACGCCGTAAATAACTAAGCTAATATAGATATTAAAATCTAATATATTAATATTAATTTAGAAATTATATTTTATAAAGCTAGAAATCCCTTTAATATGGGCTATATTATAAATATAAGGGAATATATAAGGGGCTTTTTAACCTTTAATAAGAAGGAGTATATAATATAGGATCTAGCTATTTATATAGGCTAGTACTAAGAGGTTTTATATATATTAAAATAAGTATAGCTTACCCTTTAAATAGGCGGGGGAAGGTCGGGAGTTTTAATTAGTAGTTAGGTATAGAGCGTAATATACCTAGTTTTCCTTAATATATAATATACGGTACGGCCCCGGCGGATTACTCCGTTAGGGGGGATATTATATTTATATTATTAACTTATAAAAACTAAATAGATATATTATAATAAGCGTTGCCCTTATTAGTACTTTTTTAATAAAAAAAAGTTTAAATAAGCCTAGACTTAATAATATAATTAAGAGCTTAGAAAAAGTATAGGTAAGCGTATTAAATAGGAATATTAAAGAGAGGTTATTATTAAATAAAATAAAAAGAGAAAGTAAGGGGTAGTATTTAGCTATTAAAAGGGCGATTAATATATTACGGTAAGATCGTTAGTATTTTAAGTTTAGTTAATATTAATAGTTAGTAATAGCTACGGCTAGCTATAGTTAGTTATAAAGTTTTATTAAAATACGTAATAAAGATACTCGATATTAACCCTAATAAACTAGCTTATTTATAAAGGTAAAGATAGCCCTTAATAAGGCGGACCGGACCCTAAAGGGCTAAATAATAATATAAACGCTATAAATAGCTAGGCTAATACGGACGTTAAAATCTAATATATTACCGTTAGTTTAGAAATTATACTTTATAGCGCTAAAAATCCCTCTAATATAGGCTATATTATAGATATAAAGGAATATATAAGGGGCCCCTTAACCCTTAATAAAAAAAGTATATAATATAAAATCTAACTACTTATATAAATTAGTACTAAGAGGTTTTATATATATTAAAATAAATATAGCTTACCCTCTAAATAGCTAGAACTTAGAGGACTATAAGGGAAGGTTAGGAGCTATTTTAATTAGTAATTAAGTATAGAGCGTAATATACCTAGTTTTCCTTAATACGTAATATATAGTACGGCCCCGGCAGATTACTCCGTTAGGGGGGAAGGTCGATTTTTTATAGTTATAAAGCTAGAAAAAAACTACTATATAAACGATATTAAAAACCGCCCGAGTAACTAATAAAGGCAGAATATTAAAATAAATAAAATAAATATTCGTTACTTCGTTTCTTTTATTAAAGTTAAAAACGCTTTTTTTATTATTACTATTACTATTACTATCTAACCGTCTATTTTAAATATACTTTATTAAAATACTAAGATACTAACTTATTAACCCTTAGGGCTTTTTTAATAATTAAAAGTTATTTAATTTTATAAGTATTATACTAAATAACCCCGAGCTATAGAGAGACTACTTTAATAAATATTATATTAATAATATTAGCTTATAAAAAATAAATAAATATATTATAATAAATATCGCCCTTATTAGCGCCCTTTTAATATAATAGAATATAAATAAGCTTAGACTTAATAATATAATTAAGAGCTTAAAAAGAGTATAGGTAAGCGTATTAAATAAAAATATTAATAAGGAAAGGTTATTATTAAATAAAATAAAGGGAGAAAGTAAGGGGTAGTATTCGGTTATTAAGAAGGTAATTAATATATTACGGTAGCGGGGTTATTAATATTTTAAGTTTAGTTAGTATTAATAGCTATAGCCGGTTATTATTAGTTATAAAGTTTATTACGTAATAAAAACTTAGTATTAACCCTAGTAGACTAGCTTAATTATAAGGGTAAAGTTAGCCCCTAATGAGGCGGGCCGGGTCCTAAAGGGGATTTAATAATATAAATTTAAAAAAAACGTTTCTTAAAAATATTATAATAAATTCGGGATATAACTAGCGATAGGATGCTAATAACTTAGTAACTAGTATACGGATCGTATTATAAAAGAACTTTTTAAATAATAGAGCTTATATAAAGGACTCTATAAGCTTTAGTTTTATAATATATTTATATTTATATTATAGCCCCGCTAGTTAAGTATTTATAACCTAATCTTTTATAATTTTAAAGCTTTTATTTTTATAAAATAATTAATATAAATAATAATAGATTATAAAAACGAATAGAACGTTAATAAAATAATACTTAGCTATTAATAAAAAGCTATTAGTACTAACGAGCTATAACTATTTAAAATTAATTATTTAACCCTATTTTATTTAAAAAAACGAGCTTATTATAGGGCGAGTTCTATTTAAACGCTAATATTTATAAAAGAGCTAAATAAAGAAAATAATCGGAGTAGATTACTTTTACGGGCTAGTTACCTTATTAATACCCCGAGGACCTTATTTATTATAAACGGGGCGTTTATTAATAACTAATTACTAAACGTATAAGGTCTAAGTATATATAAAGGTATAAGTAGTATTAAAATAGCTAGTTTAGTAAACTTTATAAGTTTAATAATAACTTATTTTTATAAAATAATAGAAATAATAATTAAAAACTAAAACTAAAAACGGTATTAATATAAGGAGCTTATTTAATAGCTTATTAAGTAGTTAGTAATATATTTAAGTTAATAAAAATACGAAAAGTTTCTTTTTTATAATTATAAACTACCCCCCGACGGAGTAATCTGCCGGGGCCGTACTGTGTATTACGTATTGGGGAAAACTGGGTATATTACGCTCTATACTTAACTACTAATTAAAATAGTTCTTAACCTTTTGCCGCGTGAAGTCTTTCTAAGTTCTAGCTACTTATAGGGCGAGCTTTACCTATTTTAATACGTATAGGACCTCTTAGTACTAGCTTGCGTAGGTAGTTAGGTTTAGTATAATCTATTCTTTTATATAAGTATTATTGTTACTCGGGGGGTCCCGTAGGAGCTATTTAAGGCGCCGGTTTATTACCCTAACTTTATATACCTCCGGCCCGTTTATCGTAGCTATTATAGCTAGGCTAGCGTTAATATACTAGATCTTAGTATCCGTACCGGCTTAGCTATTTATAGCGCTTATAATATTACTTAGCCGAATTTCGTACTACCGGAAGGTACTTTGCTACTTCTTGGGCGTGCTTACGTTAGCTATAATAGCTATAGCGTCGAGCTAGCTAAAGAGGGCGCTTAGCCCGAGAGGGGTAGACTTATTAACGGGTATTTTTAGAGTAGGTTCTTATCGAGGTAGTATTTTAATTAGCTAACTTCTTAACTAGTTATCTAACTAGCTATTTAGGTAGTAGTTTGTGTATTAATAGGTTTATTTAGTGGATTTGTTTAGTAGATTTGTTTAGTTTAAATAGAGAGTAGCTTTGGGCGATGTTAGAAGCGATAAGGATAGAAAGAATTTTTATGAGCTTTAGTATGAGTAGTAGATATTAGCCTATTTAGCCCTTTTTTTAGAAACTTCTACGTTACTATTAAAGTTTAAAACCTCTGTAGTTAAGGGCCGCTTTTGATTATTGCGGCTGATTATTGCGGCTGACTATTGTGGCTAATTATTGTGGTTAATTATTATAGCCGACCTCTGCTATTGACCTTTCTGGCTAGCGCTGCCGTAGGGTAGTTTATTTATTCCGAATTAAATAGCGGTTTTTATATTGAAATTATTATATTGCGTTAAGCGCGTGCTTAGGATATATTGCGCGTATTGTATAGTTAAAAAGTGTACTATATTGTGTGATTTTTTTTAAAAGCGTGATCCCGTTAAGGTCGATTTTTTGTGCTTATAAAGCCGGAAAAAAAACTACTATATAATTATAAACTAATTAAAGAAGAGTTTATAAGTACTTAAGTAGTAAACTAAATTATTATTATAGAGGTAGGTAATAATTTTCGTATAAAAAGTACTATAGAATAGTATATTAAATAGGCCCTATTTAAAATATCCTTATTATTATAAACGTAATAATATAATTATAAAAAGAGCTTTTAGGATCCCCTCTTTTAGGGTAACTTTTTAACGTTTATTTACTAATAATACGTAGACCCCGAGACGTAAAAACGGGAATATTATAAAAAACTAAAAATAAAAAAGCTAAAAAAGGATTAGACCCCTATTTAGTTTTTTATTAAATAATTAGCGATTTATTATAACCTAGGTATAAAAAATATAAAGAACTAGAAAATAGAAGTATATTAGTTTTTTTTTAAATTACTATTTTAGTTATAA